AATACTGCGTGGAATAGATAAGGTGGACAGAGACAGGATGTTCCAGAGATGGGACAAATAAACAAGGGGTCACAATTGGAAGCTGAAGACTCAGATGAGTCAAAGGAATGTTAGGAAGTATTTCTTCAGCTACAGAGTTGTTCGAAGTGTAACAGTCTGGCAAGTGATGTAGTGGAGGCAGGAACCATACGTAATGTAAGACGAGGTATGATGAAGCTCTTGGAGCAGGGAGAGGGAGGACCCAGTAGCGGTCAGTGAAGAGGCGGGGCCAGGAGCTGAGTCTCGACCCCTGCAACCACAATTAAGTGAGTACAACTAGGGGAGTACACACACACACACACACACACACACATACATACACACAAACACACACACACACACACACACACACACACACACACACACACACACACACACACACACACACACACACACACACACACACACACACATACACACACACACACATACATACACACACACACACACACACACACACACACACACACACACACACACACACACACACACACACACACACACACACACACACACACAAGAAACTAGAGAAAGTACAAAGGTTTGCAACAAGGTTAGTTCCAGAGCTAAGGGGAATGTCCTATGAAGAAAGATTAAGGGAAATCGGCCTGACGACACTGGAGGACAGGAGGGTCAGGGGAGACATGATAACGACATATAAAATACTGCGTGGAATAGACAAGGTGGACAAAGACAGGATGTTCCAGGGAGGGGACACAGAAACAAGAGGCCACAATTGGAAGTTGAAGACACAAATGAGTCAGAGAGATAGTAGGAAGTATTTCTTCAGTCATAGAGTTGTAAGGCAGTGGAATAGCCTAGAAAATGACGTAGTGGAGGCAGGAACCATACACAGTTTTAAGACGAGGTTTGATAAAGCTCATGGAGCGGGGAGAGAGAGGGCCTAGTAGCAACCGGTGAAGAGGCGGGGCCAGGAGCTAGGACTCGACCCCTGCAACCACAAATAGGTGAGTACAAATAGGTGAGTACACACACACACATGTACGCATATACAACAGGCCTAGTGTCTAATCGACATGTGCCTAGGACAAAATGGTATCTAACCCACACTATATGTATGACCTACTTCCACCTGTGAATTTGTCCAAGGTGACACCTACAACTGCTGCAGCTTTCCTGTCTGCAGTATATAATCCCCTTCTTCGCCCATATGCCGTATTCTTATCAAGAATGATCGACATCGATTCAAGGCTGAGGGACTGATATTTACGATGCTTAACTCTGGCCTCAAGAGATGTACCAGTGATACCTTTGATTTAGGACAAACTGCCAAATCTCTTGAGACTAGAGTTAAGCAACATAAATATATAATATCTAGCAGACTGTGTCCTCTACAAGGACTCCACGGGACTTATAATGACTTGTAATGAGGTACAGCTCAAACAAGATTCTAGACGCCGACGGTGTCTGGAAGCCTCGCTAATCGCCGCCACTGACACAGTAGAACATAATACTGGAAACTGCAAAATTTCGAAAACATTATCATGTATGATGCTCAACCAGGCAAAGCACCATCTACATAACAACACAGGGTCAGGGGAGACATGATAACGACATACAAAATACTGCGTGGAATAGATAAGGTGGACAGAGATAGGATGTTCCAAAGATGGGGCACAGAAACAAGGGGTCACAATTGGAAGCTGAAGACTCAGACGAGTCACAGGGGTGTTAGGAAGTATTTCTTCAGTCATAGAGTCGTCAGGAAGTGGAATAGCCTAGCAAGTGATGTGGTGGAGGCAGGAACCATACATAGCTTTAAGATGAGGCTTGACAAAGCTCAGGAATCAGAGAGAGAGAGAGAGGACCTAGTAGTGATCAATGAAGAGGCAAGGCCAGGAGCTAAGTCTCGATCCCTGCAACCACAATCAGGTATGTACAATTAGGTGAGTACCTCATTGCCTACCGGTCCTCATCTCAAACATGTCATTTTTCTGGTCATTATGTGTCACTTACATCCCACTGTCCGCCTATATATACTGTCCTTTACTCTGTGTTGCCGGGTCACTGCATGTAGAAGACCCGGGCCAGGACCCGTCCTGGAGACCCTCTCTATACCCGTCTCTGTGTGTTAGATGTGATCAAGGTCCCAGACCGAAATGTTTTCTAATAAATATGTCCAAGTGTTTGCTCACGCATTTTTTTAGACCAATTTGTCGGTATCAATTACTAAGGTTTATACCATACTCGTATGTAATTCAGCACGAGCCAGTACCAAAGCTAGAAGGGAGCGGGTAAGTACGACAGAGTTTAGAGGACTGAGTGCTCACTAAGGCTCTCTGTCGAAAAGGATTATCTTTATCTGTCTAGATTACGGACTGTCGTCTATTATTTGATATTTAAGGCAAAGATAGGAAAGCGAAAAGTCAAATATGAAACTGTGAAAACACCATTGAGGAAGAAAATAGTCTCCTGCTGATGAAACTAGCATCAAATAAGT